ACAGGATATAGACTCCATTCCTCAGAAGTAAATATTATTTATAAAATTCTATTGGTTATCTCTTTATAATTTTTTATATATAAATAAACTATGGATAAAAGCGTACTATACACATTGTTTTGCAATTTGCTTTTTTTACTATAAAATATAACATTTTTATATTAATCATTCTACTGAATGGATGTACCATTAAATTGAGAAAATTTCAAAAGAGAAACAAATATAGTCCAAATTTACTGACTTGCCTGAACCATAATAAAGTTATGACAACTGATCTGTTTCTTCCTCTATAAAACAGAAAGAATGAATATTTCTCACATTTTTCAAAAAGAAATTGATTCTTTTTTGTCTTGTTACAGCTACTAATTTCAAAATAAAAGATATAGTGTTAAATGAAATTATTTTAATACTGAAATAAGGGATATGTAGAACCAGTTAATTATCTGAATCCAAGCTAATTTTAGAAAGTTCTACAAATGCGTTAAATTTTCTGTCTCAAAATAGATCAGATTGATGGGAAGAAGTTACTTCTTTTCTTGAATTGTTCCACACAAATTTCCAGCCGGGTTCGGTGGCTCAGCCTGTAATCCTGTACTTTGGGAGGCTGAGATGAGTGGATTGCCCCAGCCTGCAGGTTCGAGACCTGCCTGGGCAACTTGGCGAGACCTCATCTCTATAATAAATCAAAAAATTAGCCAGGCATGGTAGCACGTACCTGTAGTTCCAGCTACTCGGAAGGCTGAGGCGGAAGGATCGCTGGAGCCCAGCAGGTCAAAGCTGCAGTGGCCGGGAGCGTGCCACTGCACTCCAGTCTGGGTGACAGAATGAGACTCCAACTCAAAAAAAGAAACCGAAAAAAAAAAAAAAAAACCAAATAAATTTCCAATTGTTTTTAGTAACTTATTTGAAGCTTAAAAACAACAAATACTTGAAAATATTTCTAAATTCCCAGCTCTTAGTTTTGTGCCACTTACGCTTCATTCAGCTTTATAAGAATGTTTTATCTCTTTTATAAGTTACCTTCAGAAAATGTCATTTGTCTCTCCAACACATCTGTAATTGGCCACAGTGCTGTAGTGTAGATTGAAATAAACTGTTGTATACTCAATGGTGTTTAATTCCTTCTGCTTATAGCCTTTTAAAAATTGACATTGAATATATTATAAATTCTAGAAGCAAAATATGGAATAAATGCATGAGTTTTAAATGGCAGAATTAATTAAAATTCTTTACTTTTATTGACATGTACAGTTTTATAGAAGCTTGGTTGAATAATATTTGCATGTGATTTACATTTTATTTCCCCATACTCATTTTTGCATATAGTTTGCATGCATTTCAATGTATAGTAATTTTATACATTTGGAGTTAGACTGCTAGATGGAAGAGAGTCATCCAACTAAATAATTCTTGAAAGAGGTGAACCCTGAGAGAGCACAAGAATTCTTGGTACTTGGTGGCCTCAATGGGCAATGACATAGACAAATCTACTGAAGGATTCACCTTGATCATTTAGGCTCAATCTCTCACTGGAAGAGATATGCAATTCTTCAAAATTTATTATCTATCCTGAACACAGTCCCTGAGTATAGAGAGAGGGCCAAAACTACCCTAGCTCCCCACATTCCTCTCTCTCAATTTTGACATCCATAAATATTCTTAAACATTATTTATTTGTCACATAAAAATTATATATATTTATCATGCACAACTTGATATTTTTAAATAAGTACACATTGCAAGTGACTCTGTTGAACTAATGAACATATGTATAACCTCACATATTTATTTTTTTGTGGTGAAAACATTTAAAGTCTACTCTCCAACATTTTTTAACTCTTTAGAGTTTTAGCTTGTCCAATCACTTGGGAGAAAGGAGTTCATCATGTATAGAAAATCAAAAATGAGAGGCAAAGAAGAGATTCTTTGAAATAACCCAGGAATATAACATATTTTTCTATTTATTTAGATAAAGGGTGTAGCTTGTCACTGTCAAAAAATATTTGCTAAGTTACCCCTGTTAATAATCTGAATAAGTTTAGGGCTGGCCTACAGTGGTGCTCTGGATGACTTGTCTCCAGACATAAATGAGCCAAGAGCTGCTCTCTTTGCCTTTAGTGTTTGCCCAATTCTCCCATTTTTTTGAGGAAAAAAAAAAAAGAGGTCTAGCTTAACTATGCGTTAGGAAATTCTGACTAGATTCTGAAATTCTTTGCCACATACTAGAGCCCTGCAAGTTACTCAGGACATGCTGGCTGCTGTTTAGACCCAAAGAATCAATTCTGGCCTCAGGGATCCCAGGCTTTTCTGGGGTAGAATTAATAGGTTAATTACGGTTGTTCTTAAACAGATAGATAGAATAAAACGTGCCTTCCAGAAAGATTAGTTGTGTGGCACATGGAAGCTAGATAAGGAGAGAGTAAAGCTTGGGAGAAGGATACAGAAGAGGTAGACATAACACAATGGTAGTTGACTATTTGGGAAGGGTGAGATAGAACAAGGAGTCACGGTTGAACTTTAGATTTCTGGTTGGAGTGCAGTGAGGTCATTCACTGAGTGAGAAAAAACATAAGGATGAGCAGGTTTTAGGACTGTCTCTGTGGGATAACCTACCGGAAACTTTCACTAGACAGCTAATTACATGGTATAGAGTTCAGGAAAGATACCTGGGCTGAAATTTAAAGTAGTGAAAGAAGTCACTGTGGTGGTAAAAGAGAGAATGTGCAGATAAACCCTCAGCTCTCAGCAGGTAGTGCAAGGACTAAGCCAGCTTCCATTTTATATTCTTCAAAAGCTTTAACTTCCCAAATATGTGTTGACCAAAAAGATTCCAGCTCTTTGAGGATCCAATGCATACTCTGAAGTAGAGAGTGCAAAGGCAAAATGACTTCATAGACCAAGAAGCTACAAAAATGAGATAAAGAACTGGTTATAACAGGGGTTAATTAAACTAGGGAAGGCATGTTCTGCCTAAGTCATTCAAATTGTTTTGTGTTTTGTTTTTAAACTGTTGGTGCCTAAGAAAAATACATCTAAAAAAATTACTTACCAGGTAGGCAAAAATTTACCTCCAGAGTAAATTTTTATCAGCCAGATGGTTCTTCAAAGTCCTCCCTGCCCACAGATAGCTTGGAATCAAATCTCTCTGAGAGCACTTATCTTAATGTCTATTTATATCTGCCTCAGAATCCAACACAGTGACTGCAGAGAAGGCTGCTTATCTCCTTTCAGGGGCAGCTTTATGATTTGAGATGTTCACAAGACACCTAAAGTATGAACAAAGAGGCTAAGAATGTTTCTGTCAACTCACAGCAAGGCAAGACATGCTTCCCCATTGATGCCCAGCAGATAAGACAGCTTTCTGCCAGTACCTCCCATGAGACTAGTCCAGGGCATCATATTTGGTCAGGTAACACTGTAATCCCAGCACTATGGGAGACCAAGATAAGAGGATTGTTTGAGACCAGCCTGGGCAACATAGTGAGATCTCAACTCTACAAAAAAAAAAAAAAAAAATATATATATATATATATATAGCGGCTTGTGGCTTGTGCCTGTAGTCCCCACTACCCCACTACTCGAGAGGCTGATGCTGGAGGATCGCTTGAGCTTAAGAGTTGGAGGCTGCGGTGAGCCATTATTCTGCCATTGTACTCCAGCGTGGACAACAGAGTGAGCTCCTTACTCAAAATAAATAAATAAATAATAAAATAAAATAAAACTCAGCAATGAAAGAGAGTTTGCTTTCTCGGTTCTAGCATTTAACCACTTAATCGTTTAGAGACTGGAAAACCTGGTTTACCTTTGAGGAAAGTTTGAAAGCAATCATTTTTTGCAGGTTCTTCTTATTTCTACTGCCTTTGCTTTACGCTTTTGGAGCACAAGTCCTTCTAGATTCAGAGCCAAGGAAAAAGTCAAGTTGTTTAAAGTATCCTTTATTTGAACAGAGATAGGACCTGTACAAATGTATGAATTAGGTGAAATTGCCTTTAACATCCTTACCAAATTTATCAATACCACATGATCCTTTGTTCTGATCTCTATTAGAACCCCCAGCATAACCTAGAGACATTACATGTAATATAATCTCTCCTCCCCTTTATTGAACAGCTTTATGCATTATCTTCTTTAAAAAGCAGTTCTTTGATAAAGGAGTTAGCTGGTAATCCACTTGGGCACTTGGTTATCTCTGCTTTCCCAATACAGTTCTCTTTCAGTTGTAAATTTGACCCAGTTACTAACAGAGAGAACTACTGAAAAATATAACTGTGGTCATTAGACAATTTCCTTCTCCAAACTGGGTATTGTCATATCTTTGTCCTTAACTAAAGTCTCAGCAAAGCCCATAAGAATATCAATTTTTATGTGTAAATACATACGATGTGAAAATTAGATATGTTCACACTACTGTGGGTTCCCAAAGATGATTGAATTTAAACAATGAAATAAAATCCACCTTTAAAAAACTAGTAAGTGGTCTTGTGGTTGGAAGGTAAGCTCTGACAGATTAAGGGGCAGTGTACTCTCATTCAAATATTCCTGCAGGATAAAGGAACATTTTCCTGTAACACTGCAGAATGTACTGTAGCTGACCATATTTTTTCATGGTCCCTTCCATAAGAGAAGCCCAAAGCATTGAACCTCAGAGGAAATTTAATAATAACCTCTAGTATAAGTCAATATTACATCATTTTTAAGTTGGCAAAATAGGAATATAACTGGCTTAAGTTAAAAACAAGTAAAAAATTAACAAGTGTCTGAGAATTATTACTTGCCTGGCATTGGACTAGGATCAGTGATAGACATAAAAGACATATCAGACACTTTTCAGTTTACCAGCATTTAAATGACCATTTTCCATTTTAAAGTTAAAAAAGCAATAGAGTCCACACTCTCCCTTCTTAGTTGTCCCGCAGGTCAGGCCTCACTTCCTCTGACTCTTATCCAGAAATATTTTGAACATTCTGCCTTTCAGCCCAAATGTCTACAGTACTTTCTGATCACAGCTGCTCCTGAATAGTTTCTGGTCTTACTGAATGAAGGCAGAATGCCTCAGTGGCCCCACAGGAAGCCGCCTTCTCTTGGGAGAGTCCCAAGCTGCTACTTCCTTTGCTCAGCTGACTCTGCCCTGGCACCTGCTGCCTCTCTTGTCTGAGGTCTGGGCACAGCGGTAGCAGCTGGTCTTGGCCTGCCAGCTGGTATCTGAGCAATTGTTCTTCGGCCTCCTTCCAGTTTCCAGTCTCCTGAAGGTGCTCCTGCTGAGCAGAAGCACCTGGAGCACAGGTGTGCCCATGGGATGTGATGCTGGTGACACCGGAAGCAGGCAAAGAAGCCTCTTCCTCTCGGGCAGCATGGCGGTTGACCTTCCTTCTGGACACCCCATTCACTGACTGGTGGGGCAGCTGGGTCAGTTTGCCCATTGTCACCTTCATCCTCATCTCTGTGGAGAAAATACGTAGGGAGAGAAGTTTATTGTTTTCAACCGGTTGACTGCACATCATACATATTTAGCACTTCTGACAAGATATTGTCAAATAATTAAAGATTGAATTGTATCAGCTCATCAATTTCCAAATATCTTTGGAAATGTGTTTTTTCTTAAGAAAACACAATAAAAAAGAAACAATAAAAGTATCCCCTGCTCAATTTGCACTAATACTAAATAGTAATAAAAGTTAATAAAAGTTTGAAAAACATCTATATATTTGATTTTATAAAAATATGAATATAAACACATATAGAGATAATATAAAAATACAAATAAGCATCTGTCTATATGAGTGTCTACATGTATAGATTGTGCAGTAGTAGAAGGACAAAAGGAGCATTGAACTCGAGTTGCAAAGTTAGAGTTCAAGTTCCCCTTCTGCCAGCTGTTTTTGTGACTTTCATCCTGTCAGCCTCTCTGGGCTTCAGTTGTATAATTTTATTTTATTCACAGATGCTGCTTAACAACTTACTAAAATGCATTTCATTTCAGCAACCTAGCTTTAATTGTTTTCTCCTCTTGACATTTTACTTGTATTTTAGTCTATTAAACAGAATTAAAAACCAACTCAGAAGAGTTCAATATTGGTAAACAAATATCTGGATACCATGCAATACTGTGTAAAGATAAAGACAGAGATGCAAAGTTAAGAAGAATGTTTGGTGAGATACATGCATGGGAGTATGTCATGCATACAAAGGTCATCTTTCATGTGCTTTATGTGAAAAAATAAATAAAACCTGACTAACCCCTGTGGATGTAGGTGTCAATACTGTCATCTATATTTACTGTCCCTGCTTTTTGCATAACTCACCACCAAATTCATTAATCACTTTTTATATACAATGTAGATGCTAATTTATTAACCTTTGTAAGATGTTTTTCTGTTAGTTTACTGAGAGCTGTGTTGGTTTATATTAGGACACAGTAATCATGTCTATATCATATGATAAGAGACAGTACTGGGTAAAGAATATCAATTTTATACTTCAATTTAATCTAACAATGGATGGAAAATGAGGTGAAGATAGGAACTGGTAATAACCTAATATAAATATACATAAGATGCTTTTGATTTGGAGCAGCAAAATGAGATAAAGTAATCATATTGTTCATATTGTTTCTATGACACATCAATTAATATTATGATAAGCCCATGTTATTCATGTCTTCTCTCTTCTTTCCACAATCTTTTCGCCTAGCATGCATCTGCCACAGCCACCAAACTATGGGATGATTCTCTGGCTTAGAGCTATGGGAACTTTTAAGTTACCCTAGTATTCCTATGGGATCTGCAGCTCCTTCCAGAAGCGTTTCTTGACAGCTGAGACTACATTGATTTATGCCTCAATACCTGTTGTCTGGAGTTTCTCATTTGACCTGTACAGCTGCTTCTATTCTTGGTCACCTTTCCTTGTGTGACAGTCTCATCTTCCTCTTAGGACTTTGACTTCCTTCAGGGAAGGAATTTTTTTTCCCATCCACCTTATTCCCTCATTATGCCCAGTCTTATGCCCAGCACTGAGCTTGGTATCATCTCTATAATTACTGCTCCCACCAGGTAGAAAAGACATAGTTTATCAGGCTCAGCAAATAACCAAAGAACAAGAATAATAAATTGTCAGATAGAAGCAAACTTGAAAAAGGTAAAAAGGCTTTGAATTTTAATCCCTTGGTAAAACCAATAGCACTTCATATAAGAGGAATCAAACACTGCAAGTCACCTATTTTCAATCCATTGAAGACATTGTTATCCTGTTTTTGAGAGACCTTCATCGGAAATCTTTTCCCCCTTGTTCTTCAAGTCTGCATCTATTCATAAAAGACTAACACAAGCATAGCTTTCCTTTGCAGCCCCCAAAACATTTAAAATTTTCCCATGAATTATTTACATGGCAGCTCCAATCAGCAACATACCTGACAGACTCCCCAGCTGAAATGAAAGTTCACTGTGTAAAGGTGCCCAGGGAGACTGGCCGCCTCCCACTGTGAGGTTATAGACAGAACTAAGTCAGCACACATTATATGTCAGTGCCGACATCAGAAGGAATCAAATCCTTTGATCTCGGACCTCCACAGGAAGCTTAGATCTCAGACAAATTAGATAAAAAATGAATTTATAGCAGATATGTGTCCTAAGGCATTCAGCTGAATGTTTGGGTTTTAGGGAAGGAAGGATAGTAAGTATCAAAACATGTGAATTGGTATGCCTCCTTTCCACCTCCGCCTTGTTGATGAGTCCCCATTAAAATGGAAAGATGGGCTTTTAAATTGTCCCTCCATGCCTCTTAGAGTCCCACTGGTGGATTTGATTAAGTTTTAGGGAAAATGGGATAAAATACGGGAAACATATATCTCTTCTCTGCGGAAAGGAGGTCTCACTGGTTTGGGGCTCTTCTAGGTCCATCCACAGTCAGCTCTAACTTCTCCAACTATCCTTAACCTCTTTCGACTTCCAAAACTTTCTTGAGTAACAAACATACACTATGCCTGTTATTTTGAAATGTTATGTAGGTACTAGTCCCTAGCTTCTTTTGCGATGAGAACATTTACAATGGAGCTCCCCTTTCTCCCTACTTCCCCCAGCCTTCTTTATGTTTTCTCAACCCAAGTGTAGTATTCAGTGTTAAATGACTTGGATTCAGGACAGAAGATCCAATAGAACTGCCTGGAGCTCTGAGCCTAAGCAGGGACAGAAGCAGAGAGATGGACAACTGATCAGCCAACCAAAAGAATATCTGCCACCTTGATTTCTCCTTTGTCAATAAGGGCACTAGTCCAGCCCACATATTAGAGAATGTATATACTATTAATAAACCTACTATTAATACTCTAGGCACCCTGTGCTGCCTGGAGTATGTGTTTCCTTAAGTGAAAACTTATTATTTGTTGTTAATAAGCAATGCATGACAAATCAGGAGGTATAAGAATTAGAGAAAGATTTTTTTTTTTTTTTTTTTTTTTTGAGTTGGAGTCTCACTCTGTCACCCAGACTGGAGTGAAGTGGCCGCTCCCGGCCACTGCAGCCTCGCCTGCTGGGCTCCGGCGATCCTTCCGCCTCAGCCTTCCAAGTAGCCGGAATTACAGGCGCATGCTACCACGCCCAGCTGATTTTTTGATTTATTGTAGAGATGAGGTCTCGCTGCCCAGGCGGGTCTCGAACCCGCGGGCTCAGGCAATCCACTCACCTCAGCCTCCCAAAGGCGCGGGATTACAGGCTGAGCCACCGAGCCCGGCTGAGAAAGATTTTAAAAAGGAAAAATGCCTTTAGTCCCACTTATATCATAAGTGATCTCCATTTTATTGTATTTGTGATACTCTGGCAATGGATATGTTTAAGAAACCTAATTTAACTCACTAATCCATCTGGAATTTCCTTTGATTTTTTTTGGAATATGACTCTAAATTGATAAATATTCTAAATAGATAAATTTACTGGCCCCATTTATAGACTAATTTGCATTATTTTTAAATTTTATGTTCTCTTTTATCATATATTACATTTCTGTATCAAATATCTATATCCATACTATCTAATTGTGGCTATTTCTGCTAATGTGTCCATATAGTCTTGTTACAGAACCATATTGTCTTAAGGAGAGTAACATAAATATTACAAATATTATTTCCCTGATAGCGCTACTTATATCCACTACCATCAAATTTATTTATTTTAGAAAGTTGGCTTTGCATCATTGGTAGATATTTTCTGATAAACTTTAGAATCTTATGCTATTCAACACTGTAATAAATTATTGGAATTGCATTAAACCCATTCATTTGGTAATAACTGAGGTCTTTGCAATATCAGTTAATCCAATTAGAAACATGTTGTAATTCCCTATGTATTCAAATCTTATTTTTAAAACTATTTAAAATAAAATAAAATAAAATAAAATAAAATAAAATATGGTTCATTTGTATACAGGTACACCATATCTCTCATTAAGATTTTTTTTTCCCAGACAGCATATCCTTTGGTCGCTATTGTATATTTAATTATATTTTCTAACATATACAATTGGCTTATTCAACTTTTAGACTGATGTATTTAAGTAAGTTATTCAAGTTGTTTATAAACTATAGGAGTTAATGTTTGACTCTTTTAAGTTCTTTTAAAAATATATTATCTACAAGCCATCTCCAACACTGTTCTGTTAATTTTGTTTTATATCTGGCTTCATGTCTTAGGATTCATATATATATACAGATATATAGGTATATATAGGGACCCTATAAATTATATAATGTATATGCTGTAAACTTATGGTGAGAATGAGTTATGTGTTTTGCCTTCATTTGAGTAGGAATTCCTCTAATTTTCCATTGTTAAATGTAATATTAGATTATTTTTTGAAATGGGGGTTTTGCCATGCTGTGCAAGTAGGAGTGCTGTGACTATTCACAGGCATGATCGTTGATCACGGCAGCCTTGAACTTGTAGGCACAAATGATCCTCCTACCTCAGCCTCCTGAGTAACTGAGACGACAGGTATGTGCCACTGCGCCCAGCTCTTTATCTTATATAGTGGACATGTTCTTATTTCTGATTTTTTTTTTTTTTTTTTTGAGTTGGAGTCTCACTCTGTCGCCCAGACTAGAGTGCAGTGGCCGCTCCCGGGCACCGCAGCCTCGACCTGCTGGGCTCCGGCGATCCTTCCGCCTCAGCCTTCCAAGTAGCCGGAATTATAGGTGTGCGCTACCACGCCCAGCTGATTTTTTGATTTATTATAGAGATGAGGTCTCGCTGCCCAGGTGGGTCTCGAACCCGCGGGCTCAGATAATCCACTCACCTCAGCCTCCCAAAGGCGCGGGATTACAGGCTGAGCCACCGAGCCCGGCTTTTATTCCTGATTTTTAAGAAAGTTTTCTTATGAAACAGGTGCTATATTTTATTCATGTTTTAAAGTAGGGGATGTTCATATCTCTTTTCTTATATAACATGGGTATAA